ATATATATATATATATATATGGATCATAAATCCTTTTTTATTTTTAAATTGAAGGTCTTCTTTTCAAGTTGAACGAATCATTGAAATTGTCGGTAATTGTTATTTTATCTGCAAATAATAATTCGACAAGTATCGTGGTATGCGTGGATTTTAAATAAAAAACTTGAAGGCACGTTGGAAGTTCCTTAAATGGTAAAAATATTACCGCGTAGAATTTATCGTTAAGTAACGCGTGAGATTAAAGAACAGTCACGTTTATGGAAATTATGTTTAGTTTACGAGTTGCCCGTTTCGCGAGAAGAGCGAAAATCACGCCACGTAAACCGAGGGAAGAGACAATGAGCGATAATTGTCGCGATTCCGAGCTGGCTATGACGCCTTTCCGGAAGCACCAAATTAGTACGATGAGATAGATGCAACTATCTTTTGATATAAATATTCACAATAGCTGTTCCCTCGTTGGAACGAAAAGACTGGAACTATGAAGTTTCCATTCATCGTTGCACGGATCGGGAGAATCTGTTGAAATTAATAATCGAACAGTTAGAAATACCCCTTGGAGGGGATGATGCCGTTGGTCGCGTCTCGACTATTATTAAATCTATATAAACGAAAGCGGGGGTAAGTTGGAAAAAAGACCATTGAAACAAAAGCAATCGTCACCGATTCAATATCCAATATCGAATTTTTCCAATTTTTATTTCCCAAGGGAACCAGTTTCAAATGCACGTTCGAATTAAAACTCCATTTTCTAAGGAAACCAGTTCACCAGTGTACGGAGAAAAATTCGAGTTAACGATTTAGCACGATTTATCATCGTTAGTTGGCCAGAAGGCAACTAGAAAATTTCCAACTAGAATTCCACGCGGCGTCCGCCATCCATTTATTTAATCGAGATCTCTCGTTCTATCCGTCTCGAGTCGCCCTTTCCTCGGGTGGAAAAAAAAGAGGGGAGGGAGGAAGAAAGAAAAGTGGAATCAACGCCACACGTTCCTCGGAAATTCGCCAAGATAGAGATACACACACTCCCGCTTTCACTCGTTATCATAACGTAAAAGCGGACCGAGCAGAGGCTATCATTAAAGTTCCATAAAGGCTGGTATGCTCGTGCAAAACTCGTGTAAAAAGAGATCATTCTGGTTCGCACGTTCTATTACGAGCAGGGCTACGGATTGATAAACGCGTCTAATTAATCGTTTATTTCCACGAGAAATAAGGAATACGCGCACAATTTCTATTTCGATCAATTCTCATTTAATCAATTAGTCATTATTCTTAGTTTTGCGAACGAGGAACGATCTATTGTGAATTATTATTATTATTCTTCGGTGATCAATTCGCGCGAGATTTTAAGATTTCTGTCTTTTGATAAATTGGGTAATCGTTATCGATACGAGACGAGTATTTATAAGCGAAACTTTTTTAACGAAGATTTATTGTTAAAAGATTTTATGTACGTGAATTTTATATCGAGATTTTTCTTCTCTATCGAATCTATATTATCGAGAAAAATTTTTTTCATTACAACGTAGCGTTTTTTAACAATTTCGATGTAAGCAGTTTGATGCTAGAATTCTTCTTCAATTAGTAACCTGAAGATACAACAATACGAAAACGTACGCGAAACAGTGTCATAAAGTAGACCATAATCCAAGAAACTTCCAATAACCGTACCATTCTAACACCTTGATCGCGAGCTCTCTAATTAATCTCATCTTATCGCCCATACCTGTCAACGAAACCATCAACATTACTTCACCAACGAAATTGACCATAAAACTTCGATTCCAGTCTCATCCATGTGCCTTCGTGCGATCTCTTTAATCAATATTGAGCCACCAATTCTGAATCACCTTTCACTTTTTCTTCAAAATCCTCAAAAAAAAAAAAAAAAAAAAAAAAAAATGTCAATTTAACCCTGCCCCTGCCAATTCACCCTTCGTCCAAAAACCAAATACTCGGATCCGAATACTCGTTAAATATAAAAATGGGAGAATACTCGAACGATCACGATTTTCAATATTGTGAATATTTCAAATATTGTCTCTCGGGGCGGGAGACGGAACGAATGCCACTCGGAAGAAAATTTTTTTCGCTTTTAATAACAATGAAAAAAGTTCGAATGCACTTTTTATCGCTGATTGTTGCACGCCGTTTTCGCGGATTTGAAGTCGTCGATGGAGAGGCCGAACGAGAGGAAAGGAGCCCCGAAAAGATGCGGCGACGGGACTCGACGCGAGACTGGAGCAGCAGATTGTGAACGAGCCGCGGCGAGAGAAGGCTCATCCGGAGAGAAGAGGCTCTCTTCCCTCGTCTTCTCGTCTCTCCTTCCCTCCACGAGTCCTTTCCCTCCTCGCCCTGCTCCAGCGGCCGCGTCCAGCTGACGGCCCAACAGAAGAACACCGAGATGAGTTCGGTCCCACCCTGTCTCCTCTTTTTTTCCTCCGTTCTTTTTTTTTTTTTTTTTCCTTCTTTTTTTCTTTTTTTCTTTTACAAAATTTTGTAAATACTTACACACACTCGTCATACACGCTTCGAATACTCAAATATTTCGCGCTTCACACGTGCCACTTTCCATATTTGGAAATACACGTCGACCGTCGATTCTTCCATTTGAAAGTGTCACTTTTCTCGAAGCGTGGGAAGCGGCGGAATTAAGTATTTAAAACTGTCGCAAAAGAAAAAGAAAAAAATTATAGATTATAATTTTAATTCGCAATTGAAGATATTTGTAATTGAGAGATATTCAAAGTTTTGGATTTAAAAGAGGATTTAGGTTTTTTGGTTGGACATAAAAAAAGGGATTAAATGGAGATGGCTTTTATTTTTGGAATTGGATGAAGAGCTTACATGGATGCCATCAATTGGATTTTGGAAGGAGGTCGTCGACTTTGGGTATATGGTCTTTTGAGACGCGGAAGTTAAACGTTTTTTTTCCTTTTTCTTTTTTTTTTTTTTTTTTTTTTTTTTTGCTTGGAGAAGTGATGTTTCGAAATTGAATTTCTTAGACGAAAAGAAGATTAGAGAAGGAGAGGATTTTGTTAAAGACAATTGTTTTAATATAATTTTGTTTTTAAAGAAATAATATATAGAGAAGTGTCTTGAATTTGATTTTTTTAAGGGAAGAGTTTAATAATCTTTGGATTTTAATATCTTTTTTTGCTTTTAGAAAGAATAATACGAAGAATTTAAAAGTTTTTTTTTTCTTAAAAAATTTATTTCTCTTAAAAAAAAAAGAAGAAGAAGAAAGATGTAGATTTTAAAATTTAATCATCGTAACGAAGATAAAACAAGTTGGTTTAAAGATATAACAAATTTTTAATGAATGTAATATGTACATTTAAAAGGTTAAGAGTATTTTAATTAAAGAAAACTTTCGCAATGAAGTATGTATGAACGTTATCAAGTTCGGGCTTCGATTGAGAAACGCGAACGACATTGGCCTCTGCGTTCTGAACCAATAAGCATATTAAGAAGCCATCGTTTCCGGTCACTTCGATTAAAAACAACCATTGTCAGTTGACCACTCGTTCGTGATATTCAGATCAGGGGAAAAAAAAAAAATCAAATAAAATGAAGCAAAGTTTATTTTTATCTTAAAACGTTTAAAAAATCCATTACATCTGCACAATTATCGATATATCTCTTTTTTCTTTTTCTTCTAATAAATATAAAAAATAAAAAAATAAGAAAAAATCCAATATTTCAAACATGGTCGTTCTCGAAGACGTATCGTTCATTTTATTGTCGTTACGTAATTCTTTTTAGAATTATATGCGGGTGGCGGCAATAACAATGAGATGCATGTTTTCCTTGACACTGAGGTTAAAAGTTAACCTCAAGAAGATGAAACATAGCTTCCTTATTTTACTCGTTACGACATTCTCCATTTGTAAACTTGCGATTGGTAGCACGTTTTTAATACAGCACGTTTTAAATGCATCGAGAAAGGAGAAACAAAAGAAAACGAGGGAAGGGAAATTTCAAAAAATAAATAATTTACGAATCACGAGTTAAATTAAATCAAATTATAACAATAAGAAATTTCGACTTTTACATTTAAGATTTTATCACGTCGTTTTAAATCTATTAAAATTTCATGCTGTTAACGTTAATAAATTATACCGATACTCGCAAATTATCAGCGTGTACGAGGCTTAACGCTCGTTCACGGAGGGAAAGAATAGGCGAAAGATGACACAGAGAGCTAACGGG